TTTCATCCAAAATAAAAAAATAAAATAAAAAAAGTGTAATAATGAAAATAATAGCACCACATAAAGTTTCATACCTTTTGACAGATCAAACTCGATGCAGTTGTTCAACGGCCTCCCTGCAATCAGAAAAAAAAACACCACACACATTGCATTAAACGATCAGCCTTGGAGTTTCAATTAAAAAAATAATAATCTTATAAACAAACAATCACAAAGAGCAAAAGACACACTTTTCTGCACATATACACATGACTATCAACCCACTATACAAACATGTAACTGTACGACCCCACAGACCTCGCTCCCGCTGCTTCATGCGGACGGTCCATACCGTCGACATGTTCATCGACGGCGTGATGATGAAGCAAGCTCTCCTCCAAAGGTTTAGTCGATTCTGCAAATGACGGGGCGTCGGTGGCCTAAAGATACGACGTTGCAGAAGCAACGATGATGAGGAAGGTAACAACGCCGACGACGACGGCGACGACGACGACGACGAGGCGAAGAGCTCTCTGCCTCTTCTTCCTCCTCCTCTCCCACGAGTCTGCTGCTGTTGATAGCGTATATGACACCGTTGCTGCTCCTGATCCTCGAAAACGACGACCCGACGAGCTGCACGCCGACAAGCTTCGCCACGCACATTCTCTTCCCGCTGCTGTTGCTCTGCTTGCCTCTTATCCTTGCTTCTGCTGTTGATTACTTTGTCGGCATCTCCTCCTCCTTGGCGCTCGTTTGTAATCCGCACTGACGCGGCCCCGGATCTTGAAGAGGTACGGGCTTCGGATTCCCGAGGATGACGATGACGCTAGCTCCTGCTGTCGGCGCCGACGTCAGCCGCGCCGGTGGTAGAAATTGCAGCCCAACAGCAGCTTCTCCGGGTCGTTGTTGTCGCGGCCTGCACGACACGCGCCCATGCCTGCTCTAGGCTCTCCTGTTGTGCTATGCCTGGTTTATGTGTCTATCCTGCGAGACTCCAAAATATCCGGAGGTTCAAGTCATGTACGTGTTTCAAGGCTATTATGTACCGTTTTTGTCGTTAAGACCTGGGTGAAGATTATTGCAATCTACTATACTTATGTATGTGCACACACTCGCGAGGTGTTGTGTGTTTTTGTTTGCCAAAACGTTATGCGTTTGTTGTATAACCTATAGCGAATTCAACCGTTTTGTCCGATATCACCACGCACTGCAGATGAACTGCTAGTTTTATTTTGAGAAACAATAAGTACCTAAGTCAATGTATGACCTATAATACTTCAGAAAGCCGAACACCGAAACGAAGTTAAGTAGATTACTGTTAGTATACTCTCGAAGCCGCGCGACCACACGTCTGCACGTGCAGAATGAAGCTGCCGATTGCGGAATTGCGTAATTCGTTAAAGAAAATTCCTCCTCTCTTTATACGTTTGTCTCAGGGACGTAGGGGTGTTCCGCAAGGGGTTGCTGCGTAAACGAAGCGCAAGTTATAAAAATTGTATTTTTTTCAATCAACACGTCAAGATTTTATTTATTATAAACTCTTATATAATTGTTTTTCTTACGTTTTTTTTTTTTTAATATACTTTCGATAATTTTCTATTCATTTATTTATCAAAAAGCTGCAGTGGTGAATCAAATTAAAATATATTAAATTAATTTTCCACGATTGGATATTGCAAACCGCAGTTCTCAATTCTGCAGACATCGAGCAGGAGAATCTACTCCCTTTTTGTTTCTGTCTCCTTTGCTCTGATTGTACGGCAATGCGGTCTTTTCGTGACGAGTGACGATACTTAATGAGAATAAAAAAAAGAAAAGTGAGGAGGTCGCGAACACAAAAGGGGGAGAAAAAAAGACTTTACAGGCAGTAATTCGAATTGGATTTGAATTTTTACTAGGATTAGGGGAATTTTTTTTCATGGCTATTAACTTTGTAGTTCACGAAACTTCACTTTAAGGTTTCACCGAGTTGAAGAAAAACAGAAACTTATGAAAAATAAATAACTTATATTTTTCTTGCGCACAATTATTTGTACAGAATTTTTTTCACGCAAAATCGTTCAACACACTATGTGACAATGTATTTACATTTTTTTTTTATTAAACCATGATTAATCAACTTGAATTTATAAATTATAACAATGTATTTAAACTATTCAATACTTAAAAATTGTAAGACAATGACTTATGGACTACATCGATTGTTAATGAAAAAAATATTTTAAATAAACATGCGAAAACAGCTCGTAAATCTATTTCTTCGATAAACATATACTTAAAATCTCGCGTATTGAATATCAGACTTGCAGTACCTACGGTAGGTACTTGGTTTAAAAAAAACTTAAAATTCAATGTTAAAAAAAATTCAAGGAAATGCTATTTCTTTCGTGGCACACCATCTGCTCAAGGTCCGGATAGAAGGAATTGGCATGTGCTGTTTTAACAATTCTTCGTATCCACGCGTGCCACACTCTTGTTTGAGCCTTAGGGCTTTCATCATGGTTTTTTGCGACCATGCTGTTATGGATCTTGGGTTCATTTGCTTCAACTCTAAGGCTCTCACTTGATCTTCCGTGAAAACATCTTTCAAGAATGACTTTGAATTACTCTTATTTTGCTCTTTCACCAAAGCCTGCATTCTGCGATTCATTAACACTAGTTTTTTCCTCAGAGCATTGTTCAACTTGAGCTGTTTTAATAAAAGTTTGTCCATCTTAGCAAAGCGCTCTTCATCCATTTTTTGCGCTTCAATTTTGTTTAAAATGATGCTGCTTCTCGACGTTGTCGTTGTTGTAGTTGTTGTTGCTGTTGTGGTCGACGTCTCACCAGCACTTTCATCCACCGATTTCGATTCACTGGCACTTGTATTAACAATGGCTTGAGTCGCAGATGTATTAATGTTCAACGGCTTAGGTTTTATCGCGATAAGATTATTCCCACTGTTTACAAATGGCTTTTGATTGACACCCTCAGCCCTTTTTTGATTGATAGCACTCACCGACAAAGGAATCAGCATAGACTGAGGATGCACCAGAGTTGCTGATAAATTTTGATTTTGTATTTGTGGCTTGAGGATACTACTACCCGCGGCAGGTATTATTATTGGAGTTTGATTGCTCGCAGCTTTAATTTGATTTTTGAGAATACTGGCGTTTGTAGAAATCAACATGGGAGACGATTGAACACTTGTTGTTTTTACCATGGGTTTTAGGAGACTCGCACCACTAGAAATGGTTGGAGGTGCAGATGTGTTGACTATTTTACCTTTAGTATTAACTATGATAGCACCAGTGGAATTGATTGACTGGGTACTGAAGGGGACAACAATTGATGGCGAGGTAGAGTTTATCACATGAGGTGGTAAAATTTTTATCAGTGTGTGATTATTTAAATTTATGTTTTTTAACAAATTCCTTTCTTCAGGTGGAGAACTATTTTTGTCGATGTTCTTATTCTTGAGTGGAGGCTGAAAATAATTGAATAAGTAACATTGATTGTATGTACATTACCACAGGTTTAACAAAAATAATAATAAAAGTTTTCCTACCACAAATTCTGACATTGATGGTTTTTCATTGGTTATATCATCACCAAAAACAGTAGGCACTGCATTGCATTTTAATTTACGTGATCCATCAACTCTCATTTTTTCCCACATCTCTGGAGCAAAGTGTACCTACAAAAAATGGGATTATTTAAATTGATTTTGCTGCTCCTAGTGCTGCAACCATAAAGGATAGCTGCAACTTAATGATGCATTTTTCAGCATCTTATACCTCGCACACACGATGAGCACTGTTAGGAGTCCAATTGGGCTTATTAATATTTTTAACCCACTCTTCGCATCTTGTTTTATCTTTTGGAAAACTCCTCATTAAATACCCTCTGTACGATGAATTTTTGCAACCAGGTACACAGCAATTGGGCATGTTTTCTCTGTTAAATGGTACACAAATTATTCTAAAAAATACTCACCACAGACAGTACAACACAAAATAATAACCTTTCAATCTACTTACGTGGATCTTTATTTTTTATCAAACAAATGACGTCACATTTTCAAAACCAAGCAAAAGCTAATATCGCATTATATGTTATGAAGTATATTTCATACTCCTTTATTGTTGAAATAAAACTGGTGTTTTTTTTTAAGTTAATTTAAAAAATTTATTTGTATTGTCGAACATATACTTTGTTATAATTTCTGCAAGTCAAAAAAACACTAAGTTTGTACTCATGTTCTTACAGTCTTACACACAACTAGGGTTAGGTTTATTTGTTTACATTTATCGTTCTCACTCTCACTTTGAAGTTTTACGCGCGCGCGTACGCCGTACGCAAGCCCAGTCACGATATCAACATAAAAACGTATATTTGCCGCAAATAGTATAAACGATGTTAACTTTTCATTTTATGTCTAAAAAATAAGTTGCGGCTGGTTTATAATTGATTATATGGCTCTACTGTAAGTTATAATAATCATTTGGATCAGCGCCATCTAGCGGTCGTGATTTTTTTGGCCAAAAATTGCTTCTTAAATTCTGAAGGAGAGCTTTAGGCAGTTTAGCCCAAGAGCCATTTAATCACTTATAAACCAGCCGCAACTTTCGAAATAAATACAAAATAAATAATAAACGATGTTTGTGCTGTTTGCGGCAAGTTTGCAGTGTATGTTTTATACGAATATTGACCTCCTATATAATTATACTTTTGGGTAATAGATAAATTGTAAACTTGCCGCAAACAGCACAAACATCGTTTATTATTTATTTTGTATTTATTTTTAAAGTTGCGGCTGGTTTATAAGTAATTAAATGGCTCTTGGGCTAAACTGCCTAAAGCTCTCCTTCAGAATTTCAGAAGCAATTTTTGGCCAAAAAAATCACGACCGCTAGATGGCGCTGATCCAAATGATTATTACTACTTACAGTAGAGCCATATAATCAATTATAAACCAGCCGCAACTTTAATGATAGATACAAAATAAAAATTTAATAATGTTTGTGCTACTTGCGGCAAGTTTACAATTTATATTTTATCCAAATATCGATTTCTTATATATTTATACTTTCGGGTAAAAGATAAATTGTAAACTTGCCGCAAGCAGCACAAACTTCATTGAATTTTTATTTTGTATCTATCCAATAAGTTGCGGCTGGTTTATAATTGAGTTAAATGGCTCTAGAGCTAAACTGCCTAAAGCTCTCCTTCAGAATTTCAGAAGCAATTTTTGGCCAAAAAAATCACGACCGCTAGATGGCGCTGATCCAAATGATCATTACTACTTACAGCTTACAGTAGAGCCATATAATCAATTATAAACCAGCCGCAACTAACATTATAAATAGAAAATGAAAAGTAAACATCGTTTGTGCCCTTTGCGGCAAGTTTGCAATTTATCTTCTAGCCGAATATCGACCTCCTATATATTTATACTTTTGGGTAGAAGATAAATTGCAAACTTGCCGCAAACAGCACAAATAATGTTAACTTTTTTATTTTATATTTATAAAATTAGTTGCGGCTGGTTTATAATTGATTAAATAGCTCTACTATAAGTAGTTCAGTAGTAATAATCATTTGGATCAGCGCCATCTAGTGGTCGTAATTTTTTTGGCCAAAAATTGCTTCTGAAATTCTGAAGGAGAGCTTTAGGCAGTTTAGCCCAAGAGCCATTTAATTACTTATAAACCAGCCGCAACTTTAGAAATAAATACAAAATAAATAGTTAACGTTGTTTGTGCTATTTGCGGCAAGTTTGTAGTGTATGTTTAACATGAATATCGACCTCCTATATATTTATACTTTTGGGTAATAAGTAAATTGTAAACTTGCCGCAAACAGCACAAACATTGTTTATTATTTATTTTGTATTTATTTCTAAAGTTGCGGCTGGTTTATAAGTAATTAAATGGCTCTTGGGCTAAAATGCCTAAAGCTCTCCTTCAGAATTCCAGAAGCAATTTTTGGCCAAAAAAATCACGACCGCTAGATGGCGCTGATCCAAATGATTATTANCTGGTTTATAAGTGATTAAATGGCTCTTGGGCTAAACTGCCTAAAGCTCTCCTTCAGAATTTCAGAAGCAATTTTTGGCCAAAAAAATCACGACCGCTAGATGGCGCTGATCCAAATGATTATTACAACTTACAGAAGAGCCATATAATCAATTATAAACCATCAGCCGCAACTAATCTTATACATATAAAATAAAAAGTTGACGTTATTTGTTTTATTTGCGGCAAGTTTACAATCTATTTTTTACCCAAAAATTAAGTACTTAAGAAAATTAATGGATTTAAAAATGAACTTGGTTTTTTAAAATATACAATTGTGTGTTGTCATAACGTCACAAGTCAGAATCACGTTTTGTCAGTTTTGTGTCATCAGTGTCATGTTTATGTAGAGAGACACTCTTGATGTAGATATACACTAATAAGATTTTACAAAAACATAAGCACAATACATACTTTTAAGGAAATATTAATATTAATTAAGAACTCATTTTATACCATAGTAAGATTTGTGAAAGTTAAGAATTTTTTCAGTTATCACGAGTACTTCCGGGCATGTGAGTAGAGAAATTTTTAATAAAAACTTTGCTACAGTTGTTGACATGTGGGTTAGTAGAAACATTGACCAACTTACGGAGAGAATTTCTTATCCGTAACTAAAACTTTTAGATTGAAAATGGTCTATAAAAATGAGTTCCAAGCAGTAGTGCTTGCTGGTGGTAAGGGTTCTCGTATGACAGAGCTGACAGCTGGAAAGCCAAAATGTTTACTACCCATTGCTAACATGCCAATGGTCTGGTATCCATTGAAACTTTTGGAACAATCTGGTTTCACGGAAGCTATTGTCATTGTATCGGAAGCAGTGAAGATGGACGTAACGACAGCTCTAGACAAGTATGGTTTAAGCATTAAACCAGAGGTTGTTGGAGTGCCAGATGCAGAGGACATCGGTACAGCAGACTCGCTTAGATTTATCCATGATAAAATCAAGTCAGATCTTGTGGTTGTGTCAACAGACTTTATTGCCAACATAGATATTTCTGAAACTCTAAATCTGTATCGTAAGCACAATGCTAGTATTACTGCGCTGATTGTACAAACTCCTAAAGCACCTGAAGATTTTGTCCAGCCTGGACCTAAAAATAAACAAAAGCCAGAGAGGGATCTTATTGGTATTGACAATGAAACAGGTCGGATTGTTTTTTTAGCTTCTGCATCCGACTTTGAAGATACGGTAACCATGCCTGTTAAGCTATTGAAGAAACATCCTAATTTTACTGTGTTCTCAAAGTTACTGGATGCCCACTTGTATGTAATCAACAAGTGGGTGCTTGATTTTTTAGTGCACCACAAGTATGTGTTTATTAATTTTTTCAATTTTTTTATAAATCTATACAAGTAACTTATTTTTCCCGTTCTCAGAAACTTCAGTACTCTGAAGGGCGAATTACTTCCTTACATTGTAAAAAAGCAGTTGGATAAGCCAAAAATTTTTAAAGATGATAAAAACGCATCTGTTGTCAAATTGGATACTACACAAGATATATTTAGGTTTGCAGTGGAAAAACCTTTTAATGAACTGATTATGCACATGTCAGCCTATAACGATCATGATACAAACTTGGAGAGTGCTTATAACAAGGATGTGATCAAGTGCTATGCTCAAATTGTGAATGGAAAGTGTGGCTTGAGAGCAAACACTCTACAAATGTATTACTTGGCTAATGCATTGGTAAATATGTCATTGATTGTTTCAATAATTTTATACAATTTTCCATTTCATTTGTTATTTCTTTTTGAAAAATTTATCTAAAAAAATTTTCAACTTTAGGCACATGAATGGTTTGACTTGAAAAAAGAGGGTGAATCGACTTGTTCCAGCGTTTCGCTCGGTGCTACTGTAAAAAGTACACAAGTACAAAATTGCAGAATTGATGATAATGCAATGATTAGTGAAAAAACTTCTTTGAAATCGAGTTTCGTAGGTTGCAATGTAATAGTGGAACCAAAAACGAGAATATCAAAGAGTGTCATCATGAACAACGTTACAATAAAATCAATGTAAGAAGCAATTTTAAGTTGTAGTCTGCTTTCTCAGAAAAAAAAACTGATTTTCATTTAAATCTATTTTCTTTTCAGGTGTGTTATAGAGAACTGCATCATATGTAATGATTGTGTTATCAATGAAGGTAGTCAACTAAAAGACTGCTTGGTTGGAGCCAATCATGTGGTGTCGGCAGAAAGTAATCACTCTCGTGAAATTTTAACTGATATTGATAGGCTAATGGAAATTTAGTAGTTTATATTGAAAACTTGGTAAGCAAATAAGTCCTAAGATACTTTGTTTAGTCAATTATCGGAGAATCACACATTTATAAGTTTTTTTTATTATTTTCTTACATAGTGTGCTCAACAAACTAGCCGAGGTGTAATGTGGTTCATCGAGAGTCAATACTTTTTGACTTTTTAGAGTTGACAGCCTTTTTAAGGCGTATATAATTCTTTTAGTACTCTAAATTACTGAAGTAATGACGGGGCTGATAAACTTTCATAGTCGCAAGATGACAATATACACACACGCCGGAAACGTGTGTTCGAGGAGTGTCATGGCTATCTTCTCTCTCCTCAACATTGACATCTTTCTGGCTCACACTAAAGCTTTCCAACAAGTCCTACCACGATGACAGTGAGAAATGTTGACAACAAGGAATGAACAATTTAGTGCGAATAGTAAAGTAACGAAAAATATCAAGCATTTTATGTATGAAAAAATCAGAAAAATGTCACGAGCAGTTTTTTGAAATCATTTCTTGTCTTTTTAATACGTCCACATACATTAAAATACATATTTTTTTTTATTTTCGTGCTGCAACGTTACAATGTTTTTGTACACTATACATGTACAGCTGTATATAGCTAAATGGCAATTAAAAATAATTTTTAGAAATTTTTGGTTCTTTACCTTCTTAATGAAACCCCCTACTTAAAAGACAACATAAAGTCTTGATTTTATCCATTTTCATCAAAGATAAAGACAATTTAGGGAGAAAAAAAATTAACTCACACACATACTTAATGATTGAAACATCTGCATAATATAAGACTTATCGAAAAAGGCCAGTTGACAAAAAGATATCAATAACTGAAATTTTAGATAATTTCTACTTCAAAATTTTAAATGTCAAATTTCTATCATGCAGATCTTTGGTGATACAGTCTATATTATGATATCGAGATCTTTCAGATATTGCGTATAAGATAATTTGACACAAATTTGAACTGAAAAAGCAGGCCATTCATTTTTCAGAGTGGAAAGAGTGATAGTCATTATTAAAGATAAAAAGGTACTGTTAACTGCGTGGTTGTTTTTTTTTTTTTTTTTTTTTTCACGAATTGTAGTACTTAATGTGAAACAATTTATTTTGTTAAAAATGGAAAAAAAAATGTTTCTCTTAAAACAGGCTAGGTGTGCCCAAATCTAAAGCAGTCGCTACAAACTATCATATACATCTTTTGCTACTAAAAAAAAAAAATTAAAATACATCTACCTTTTTATTTCAAAACTATGTCCTCACATTTTGTAACCTTAATAAAGATCAGACATTTCTCCTTTGGTCTGTCATTGATCTTGAAATTGTGGCTCGTTGCCAAAGTTGTTTGCCATTTTATCAATATGCGACTCCTTCACAATTTTCTATAATTAAAGTTTGTTCACACACCGCGAGTGAGTGATTAGTGTGTGATTAGCATCGCCTTTTAGAAAAATACAATATGACATTTTATTTAAAAATTAAAAATCAGTATCCACATTGTTAATATCTATAAACATATTCTTCACTATTTTTGAACAGTTTCCGGTCAAGAGTTAAAGGTATTTCATCTAAACTTTATCAAACAAGAGATATAAAATACATATATGTAATATGCATGGCGCTTGTGTGTGTTTTTATGACACAATTTACAATTAAACTTAAGTCCCACTTTTGATAACGATAATCATAAGTAAAAGTTGTCTTACTGAATGGTAATTGAAAGCTCATCAGGGACAAATGAAATGAGTTACAATACACATATTTGTACAGCCGAGTCCGATACATCCATACATATAACAAAAGCAAAATTGAACAAACTAAAAAAAATGTATCGCGATCGTCCATCAGACTGATAATAGAAATCGAACGCCGCAATAATGTGAGTACAAAAATTATTCCTTGTATTGTAAAAAATCGCCAAAGCTATAGTTAAAGTTATAGGTTTATGAAACTAATTCCTCATTCTAAGATTACCACGCGCCATATACCTATAAAAATGAAAACAAGAGAGTCGAAAAAAGCCCCCCATATCAGTACTTCTTGCGTATACCCGACAAACAAAGGTTTAAGCATCTCTCCTTCGCATCACTCGATCGCAATTGCATAAAAAAAAAAAAAAAAAGCGAGACGATAAGACGGCGACGGTAGTCCAAGATATCTAGCAGGTATAAAAGCTCACGTCGCACATGACCGCTTCAGTCGCACATATTCGAGCGCTCCCTTCGAGATAATCAAATAAGAAAAGTCGGAAACGGCCAAGAAGACCTTCCTGTCTGCGCTGCTGGCTGGTGGATCTATTCGAAAAGAGGAGGGTGTAGGCTCTCGCAAGAGCGCGTTTTAAAAAAAGAATCGCGCGGAGAATTAGAGGCATCGGAGAGAAGACAGATAGGCGAGGGGGCAGAACTCTTCCCGCGAGAGCGCGACGATCGAGTTATGCTTCTTGGATCCCGGCCGATTTTCCGTCTACACAAGCGCCAGAGGATCAAGAAGCTCGTCAACCCCTGCCAGGGTGGATAAGTTCGCTACTTACGCCGGATCGAGGAAACCTTTGCTTCGCTAGGTCGGAGGATTTTTTTTCTACCGGCCGGTTCGGGAGTTCCCCGCCACGTGTATATATATACACACACATCGTCGTTGTTGCGACGATTGCTGCTGGAATACTTACCCGTCGCTTCGAGGAAGAGGCCATTTGAGGATGGGCGTCTTTGGCAAGATGTTCGGTTAGTTGGCTGCGATTAAATTTTTTCAACGACCATACTCGTTGCGAGAATATTGAATTATGGCAGTTTGTTTATGTTGACGTTTGACGAGCTGCATGATGATTTAGTGTGTTTATGCGATATTTTCAAAAATAAAGAACGAAAATTGGCGAAACACGCTATTGTTTTCAAATTCAACGCTAGTCTTAAAGTAAAAAAAAAAAAAACATACATTTAAAAATATTCTCTGGATTCGTTGAATTGATTCTAATGTACACTCTTGCATCTCATTGTCATCGCTTGCACTTTTTACTTTATGAATATACTGGGTATTAATTTAATTTTCATACAATTGTTTTGATGGTTAAAACGTGGCTGGCCAAATGAGAATACATGTTTTGTGTCTTAACAAAAATCGTTGTATTGTTTTTTAAGCTCCTTCAAGAAAATGATCATCGTGATTGGTTGCGTTAGACTTGGGTAACAATAACATTATCTTTTATCTGTAATAAAATTTTTTAACATAAAATAATGTTACTCTAAACTGTCATCACTACATTGATTAATAATATTACACTTGAGAGTTTTATGAAATATTTCCGCTCTTTTTCGAATAATTAATTTTCAAGCAACAAAAAAACGTACGATTCGTCGGAGCACGACAATACCGGTTTGCATTTCTTGTGAGGAAACAAAATTAAATTAAATTAAATTTTCAATTCTCGATAGGAAAATACCTGCTGGTGACTAACACAGTGAGCTGCGGCGTGATGATGGCTGTGGGCGACGCGATGCAGCAGCGCAGCGATTTTTTCAAAAAGCACTTGCCAACGAGTCCCTCAAAGTCGACGACAAACAACGAACTATTGCTCTACGACGGCAACAAGGAAGCAATGACCCTCGCGATAAACAACGAAAGCGCCGTTTCGAGGGTGGTAAAAACAACAACGGCATCGACACCGCCGATCGACGACTACAATTTCGTGCGTACGCGCAACATGACTGCCGTGGGTTTTCTTCAGGGCCCGTTTCACCACTACTTTTACGCGGTACTCGAGAGGTACCTGCCCGGCCGGAGTACCCGCTCGATATTCAAGAAAACCGTGTTGGACCAGGCGATCGCCAGCCCCACCTGTTTGGGGATATTTTTTTTCGGGCTCGGCGCGCTCGAGCGCAAAAACTTGAATGACATCAACGGCGAGGTCCGGCTCAAGCTCATGGACACGTGGAAGGTGATAAATACATCATACGAATTGCAATTCATTTATCTTTTTACCACGATCAATTTTACACAATATGTGGCGTTTCTTTCGATTGTCTCAGGTCGACTGTATGTTCTGGCCACCCTCGCAGTTCATCAACTTTCTTTTCGTGCCCATGCGCTACCGGGTGATATACATAAATTTCATGACGATGATCTACGACATGTTTCTGTCGTACATGAAATACGTGAGTATTTTGCCCTATAATATATATATATATAGTTGCGGCTGGTTT